GCTGTGTAGTTCTAGCTTGGGGGTTACAGATATAGCGTTCAGTTCACAAGACTTATCACAAACACATAGAAGGAAGACATTAAATGCAAAAATTAAATTTTAAATAATCTCATCAATTGAAATCTAAATATTTCCAGCGTTTCTTCCGGTAAACTGATTCAAGCTTCCTTCTATTTCCTTGATGTGGCTTAGATCAATTTGCAGGCGAAACGATGGAAATATTTCAATTTCCATTGATGAGATTATTTTATTTAGTATCTGTTTATAAACATAAACACACTGGATTTACAGAGAAATCTTAGTTTTTCTATATCGTAATGGATTCTTTTAAATGACTCAGATGTAACGTGGATTTTAATATGACAATAGTTTAGGGGTAGGGTGAATCGATGAGTAAAGTTAAGAATACGCTGCTTGAACAACTAAGAAAATAATTAAAATAACTGATAGAATAGTATTCATTTTTCTGAAATTCATAAATGTATCTCCATCCACTGATCGACTGGATGCAAATGAGCTGACAGCATAAACTGACCTTTTACGAGGCAAGTCTGTCCAGTTACAATAATTATCAAATCGAAACCTGAATAAGTTTAGTGTGAATGACACATTGTAGTTTTATATGATGGATTGACTTTAATTAGACAGGTATTGAAAATCAGGAAGCAATCGACAGCTATCTCTTCTTAGTACGGGATTCAGCCGTAGATATTCACAACCGCATCAAGGATAGAACCCAAATATTTCAAATCTTGTGATTATAACGCTACTTTTTGATGACGGTAGAAACTCAACAGTATTATCAAAGAAAAGTGATTCTATTTGCACGGAACCTCAAATCGACTCAAGATAGGAATGCAAATCACGTTCCTGAGTCATAACTAAACAGTTGTTTACAAAATAATCAGTTATTACAAAACTTACATAATTCCCTTGATCTTGCGTAATTCCTAAGTATATTAAGTGTGTTATACCCACCAATTACCGTCGTTTTCCGTTCACTTATTTGGTGGATTTTACATATTAGACAATAATTTCAATCAAAGAATGGATTGTAACTGCCATTAAATATTCTTTCATCCAGCATCTGTTGGCACTCTACACTACGGATATCTATTGTAGGGTTGAGTGGTATTGGTTTTGTTGTAAGCTTGAGGTTAGTTACGATTTCTTTATAGATAAGCCCTTAGTACTTTTATGTCATTTTCGAAAGGTTTGTGATCATATTTTGTTGTGTCAGATATTTTATCAAGTATGAATTTTAACCTAAATGACAAGCGTCTTCAGTTTTGTAAAAGTGCCTTTTTTGTATGTAAATGAATCTTTAATGATGTAAAGTTTCTTCGCTTTGTTGTGTAAAGCTGATTATTCTGTAGAACATGTCTAAACAAATGAAGCATTAGTAATTATGATCCTTTGGTCAAGTGTACTTGGATTCATATATCATGGATGTTATAATATAGCGAAAATAATAATAATAACGGTAATAATCATACAGTGAGTTTTTCAACTCTCCTTATCCGATTATCCATGAAACAGTTTTTATTATATACTTCAACTTTATCTAAGAAATTTAAACGTTGCGTATAAATCCACCTTTATTTAGCTACAAGGAAGAATGAGTTTCGTGCCAAAACCCAAGGCTTTCTTTCGTTGATTTCATTGGTTCATTCAGCAATGATAGTCTTGCCGATGATCTCTTAGTACAAATATAGATTTGTATTTATAAATCAATTGATTTTTATGCATTTTCTTTTCTAATTTCAATGAAATTTGCTTTTATTTCTTCCATACATTTTTCATTGTACTTTATTTCGATTTTTCACTCTACTAGTACTAACTGGCTGGTAACAAAAACGAGTTCATGATTTACACAATTTTCGTTTGTTTTTTTCTTCTTCTGCAAATGGTATATTTTGCTTGGAATTTTACGCTTTTGTTTGTTCCCCACCCTCTCATTCAAATGATAATTCCAATGTCAGTTTCCATACATAAGTATCTTGTATTATTATATCAAGTGGTCTTAATACAACACATTGAATGTAAATAATGTTGTACTACTTAGAATTATTGAATTCACCAAATGTATTTACGTTAAAATTGTCCATTATATTAATACTAACACTTGTATAGTTGTCTTTCTAACTTAATCATTAGACTAATATAACAGATTTTTACCGGTTTAACTTCTTCTATGCACATAACTGTACTTAAAAGAGAATGTTTATGTCAATAAATTCAGTTAGATAAAATAAATGTTTATATAGAACACAATTATAATGAGAACACCTATTAATACTGGATGGATTGATGTGTCTTAAAATTGTGTTTATTTACTAATATTTTGCATAATAAGTTCATAATATACTGTGCTCACAATCTATTCAGGCGCGTTTATGAAAAGTTTACAACCTTTCGCTATACGGGTTACAAAAAGGTACAATCAGCGACATCATGGTGGTTGGCAATATGCATTGAAATGAATGTGGATTACGGAACTCCTAACATTTAACTGGTTATCCTTCAAAATTTATCGTCACAATCGATCAAGATATAAGAAAAGGAAATTTGTTGAAATACTTTATGCTGAGAACTCTATATTGCACCAAAAATATAATGTTGAATAGAGCTTCTAATAATAATACTCAAAATGAGGATAAGCGTAGCTCAAAGTTGTCTTTTAGTTTTCATACTTTGATTCATGTATTCAATATTTTATCGATTGGTTTGGATAAAGGATGAAAATATGATGTCACATAAACAGTGCAGTAGAATAATAAAAATACAGTACTTTTTCAGAAACACACAGCATTTATATCGTTCATAGAAAAAAAAGAGTTATCCTCATATTGATATTCAGGATTGAGTGTTGGCCAGTCTTTCTTGACATATGTACATTTTGTGTGGATTACCTAGATGTAGCCATTATGTCACAAGTTATATATCACTTATAATATAAACAATCTATTGATTATCTTGACTTAGTAGCTCAGCTGATAATGCTTTGCACGTTTACTAATAAAGGCAATGTGTTCGAGTCCCGATGTGGACATTAACAACGGGATACAGATACATCCAGCTGAGTCTCAAATAAGACGAAACGCCTGTCTTCCATTCCACTGTTGAACACGATTCCTTTATTCTAAATAACTGATTAATAATAATTGTCCTATATATATATATATATATATATATATTTAACCCGTATTTCGATACCCATCAAATCATCATTACAATCAATTTGATAGCTAAATACACATACAAACAAAGAACAAAAGTAGAGAAGAGTAATTGTGAATAAATAAAAAAAGAAAGAGAAAATAAAAAAAAAAACAACTACCGATAACATTTAATCAGTGTTATTCCTTTCTTCCACCCATTAATACTTCTGACCAATTGCTTATCACGTGTATGATTATCATAACAATCTATGGGAATTGATTTATTTACCTTAATAGTTTAAAACGAAAACCTACACACACACACAACATATTCAACCTAGAAAAATGATACAAGTACAATGATCAAGTTTATAGATAAACTTCAGAAAAATTATGATAATTTATGCATATTATTTAATGTATAAAGATGAGAAATATCAGAGAGAACAAGGTAAATTTTGATGATGATGATGATGATGATGGTGGCGATGATGATCATGTTGATAATCATGATTTCTATAAAGGATAATTTACCATATTCTATACTTATTCATGTCAGTTTATAAGGTTACCATGACATTCAAAAAGGGAATATTGATTTAGAGTTTATAGTTGGGTAAATGATGCATTTGAAATATTTAATTAATGTTTTTTTGTAACATTTACTGTATGATTCAGTTTGAATTTTATTTGCGGTATATTGAATTTTCTAGAAGTATTGAGAAAGATTTTATAATTTTGATGGAGTTTTGTTCTCTGAGCTGGATAGTTTAGTCGTGGAGTTTTCATCGTTCTTCTGAACGATATCATCAGCACAAACTTCAGATAGAAGTGAAGTGTTCGAATTTCTGCATATGTACAAATATAGGAACAAAAATCAAACCAATGGGAGACACAACCAAAACAAAGAAGAAAACAGTGACAAATTTAAGGTCAATAAGAACCAATCAACGCAAGGTGTACAGAACAAGCTGTGAAACGCATATGGAGAAATTCGAACACTTCACTTCTATCTGAAGCTTGTGTTGATGATGTCGTTCAGAAGAACGATGAAAGCTCCATGACCAAACCATCCAGCTCAGAGGACAAAATTCCATCAAAATCATCCACCTGAGCTACAAATCTTCTTCACCATCTCAGGATTTTATAATATTGACAGAAGGTTGAAATAAAAAAAATCTACTTTGAAGTCATTAAAGTGAATATTACGATCAATAATATTTGTTAATATCCTAAGGAGGATTAAATTATGGGTAACTTTTGGGATCTATTCATAGACAGTTATTATATACACATATTGTATAACTAGATTACACATATTTATATTCCTTTTATCATAATATTCCTTTTGACCTATTGACTACTATTATAAGATTTACTATTCTTAAGTTATTCCCAATCTCTTAATTACAATCTCTCAAACTCTCAACCACTTTTGGCTTGATCTTGTATGATTGTTATTTTTTTTGTTTTACGGTACGATTTGGTCTGATTTGTTTGTATATAAACTGTGTATGTCTGAAATACATGGTCCATACAGTGGAAGCTGAGGTTGCATTTTAGACTCAAACGGACAGGGCTAGTCGAGAAGAATCGATAAGGACTCAAAGTTGAATCCAGACTGCTCGTACTAGTTAACATGTCATTGATTTGGCACAGTATCAAGATCTAATGAGTCAGTTTTGTAATTGGAGATTTTATTACGAGATATTTGACGGGGCTTACGTTATAACAGGGACAGAAATAAATTATGAAGTAAATAAGACAAACATACATTTGTAGTAGGCTTCACATTAGTTATGACTAATTGAGTGAAGATGAAACAGATGTACAATATTTCCTGATTGCTACTATCTCTTCGAATGATGTTAGTTCGGTATGAGAAAATTTCTTTAAAATCAGAAGCGAAACTGTTCAACTGAAGATTGTATTAACTAAAACCAACAATTTAATAATAATAATAATGCTGTTCAATTTAATTAATTGAAACAAACAGTAACTTGACCAAATTAATGTGATTAATTGAAGTACATTAAACAAATACTTTTCTCTGATCAACTTTTCTTTTTACCGAAAAACCGAAGAAGATTATCATCATCATCATCATCATCACTGTGATGATAAATCACTCATTGTACATGTAAATTTTTTCATAATACTATCAATTCGATTTACAAATCCTGGAAAATTTGGATCAATCAAACATAATCGTATAAGACCTTCTAAACTTTGAGTTGGCCATTCAGTAGACCAACTTTCTGGTAATTGAACAGGATTATTTAGCATTTTATTTAAAATAGTTTCTGTTGATAAATTACTTTTGTTTTTTATTGATTCATTGTTATTCACCAAAGTATTATTATTATTATTATTATTATTATTATTATTATTAGTAGTAGTAGTAGTAGTAGTAGTAGTAGTAGTATTAGTTGCAGCGAATTTCGATAAATTCATAAAAAAATCATTTGCATCGGTTTCATTGAAAAATGTCATTCGAAATCGTTTCATTCTGTTAGATTGTCTTATTTGAATCATAACTTCATCTCCACCTAGACAGTGAAAAGAAACATGAGATAGAAATAAGATAAATAAGTAGTATTTACAGTTTTTATAATATATATATTTTTTTCAAATTCAGTCTTGTAATATCATAGCAAACTATTAATATTCTCTTTCAGCTTAGTTCGGTTAAATATCGAAACATTGAGGAGGGCTTCTTTAATTGATAAAGAATAATAATGTTAAACAATACGTTGGAAATAGAAAATATGGAGCAGTGAATAATACACAGAATTATATCCACAGTAATACCTGGTAGTTCAGGACGCAGATCTCACATGAAAAAAAGACATTAGTATTGTAGGACAGAATCAAACCAGAACAAAACGGTAGTAAAATAAATCCTGATTTCAAATAACCCTGGTGATAACTACTTTTGGTGAGAATGACCACAGACATTAACATTGTGGGATACAGGCTCAGTGGTCTAAAGGTTAAGGGTTCATGGGCAAGATCGGAGGTCCTGGGTTCGATTCCGTCAGCATGTTTGTGAATGTGCACTGATGAAAAGTTCCATACTAGGACAGTACAACCGCCCGGGGATTTCAAGTTTTCAACAGTGGTCTAACGTAGATCGTTCCATGATTTCTATGAAAATAAACAATTAGTTGGCCTTTAAAAAGAACAATTGAACACTATTTTTTTGTTGGTAATAAGCAATTACGAGCAATGGTGTGTTCCTCCTTTAAATTATAATCATCCAATGAACATAACTGTAAGTTAGAAAAAGTGACATTGAAGAGTTCTAAATTGAATGAAACTTCTTCGTCCATTTAAAACAAAATACTATAAATTAAAAGATACTTCGTTGTTTTTTTTTGTTGAAAACAATAAACTTACCGACAATTACTGCTTTCATCCATTTCTTTGATAAAATTAGAAAATATGATTCAAGTATCATTTTACCACGTAAAATACATAAATGCCCAAAACCAGCTAAACGTATCTTCAATTTGATATCACATTCTTCTGTCCATGTTTCCCATATATTTTGTTGTTGTTGTTGTTGTGATGATGATGATGATGATGTTAGTTGTTGTTCCTGTTGTTCCACTTCCATAATTTCATTTTGTTGATATTTCTTATGATTGTTTTGTTCATGAGATGTTTGATTGAGATTTTGTTGTTGATATTGTTTTTCACCTTTTTCACAATAACGGCTAAAATATTTTAAATACCATTCTTTTGTTTCATAAAAGTATTCAATATTATCATTATTTAATTTATTTACTATGGTGTTACTGGTATTATTATTATTATTATTATTATTATTATTATTATTATTATTAGAATAATTCATAATAATATCAGAATTAGGTTGTTGAGTTGATGAAGCTAAAGGTTGATCAATTGAAAAGGAATGTGAATACTCCTAAAGAGAATAATTAGATTGAAAGTGAAAGAAAAACAACTAAATTCAATTAATCAATATAGATTTTAAGGTACTTTATTGAATAAGTTTATATTTTCACAAACTATTAGAATTAATAATTAATAACTAAAATAATCAATGTAAATTATAATATAAAAGATAAATTAAAACAAGAATAACACCTAGATAGTGGTTGGAGGTAGTCGACAGGAAACCCACGACCCGGATTTCGTGCTACTTGGCACTCGTCAGCAAGGTGTACCTGTAATTTTGAGGGAACTGGTGCTCCCTGACGGGTTCCATTCTGAGTCACCCAGCTTCACAGTCGGAGACGTTGCCAATGAGCTATCCGGGCCGCGATCGATCTCCTGTAGGACTGAGATGTAATCCAACCACCATCTAATCTCAACATAGTGCATGCATTGTTGAGTCACCTAGACTGGTGGCCACATTGCAACTTAGTCGATAGAATTCGATCTGCACTAAGAAGGACTTGATACACATGACATTGATCACCACCCAGTGATCAATCAATCAAGATTAACACCTATTTCCGTCAAGAATTGTTTTGAAGAAAATATAAAATCTAATGCTAGCTAAACATCAGTTTTTGTCTGCAAAATAATTATAGAATATACACTTGTTATATGATTCTTAACCGGTGTGTATCATTTAGTTGATCATTGAAATCTTTTTTGTGCTTAGACTGCTAACATGAGAAACCAAGATCCTTAGATGATTTGTTATTATCAAGAGGAAAGATGGTTAGTTCTTCTCCAACGTGCTCTCACATGACCATGAGTCTATAATTTCTCCTAGGTTTTATTCATTGTTATCATATGGCAAGAACTTTTCCATTAAAGCAAAATTAAAATCAGACATCTGTCTTGAACAGGTTTGGTGAAATATGATGATTTATCCAGGAGGCATAAAACTCTTATTTTGTAACAGTAGTATACATGGGCTTCGAAATCCTGAAGGGATGAATCTATTTAGGTACCGGTTACATGAACATGTGACTTGTGATATTATTCATGAATACCATTTGTTTGGTTGCAGTAAAAAAAGTTTCTTATCTCTAGAGCAAAATTCTTGCCATGGTCGATTAAGAAAGTTTCCCGCTCCTACATAAGGCCATAGAAACTATCGCAGCATTCACACAAATCATTACATTCACATATCACTTTCTAGTGTTCACCTGGCTAGCCTCATCATTTTATCATCTTCCAACTTCTATCAAAATAACAAACCAAGATAGGTCTCTTAAAATGCATAAATCAAATGTTTAGAAGTTACAAATGATTACCCCTATGAATCAATACGTTTTGATAAACGTGTACTCTATAACTAGCATCAACAAACTAGGATGATATAAAATAATAAATATATTTCTTATGTCCCAATGAGTAGAAAGTTATACTTCTGACGTTTCGTGGCTTACAATATAGTTATGAAATGTCGGAAATATAACTTTCTACTCGTTGTGGCATAACAAAAAATATATTTATTAACTTTTTACCCAATGCTCAATTAATTTGAAACTATTAAGTCCAACATTGTCATTGATACCTAGAACGATATTTGTTAAGAATGACGATTGGGTATCTGTAGGTTTTACACTTTCTATCTTCAGTAGAGTTCACCACAAACAAAACTGTTTTAAGCAAACAGCCTAATATTAAATTTGATCCAGATCAAATGCAGAGTCATTTCACAAATTAGTAGTCAGTAACATAACCCAGACACTTTTATATTTTGATTACAAACTGTAGTATTTTAGAGATTGTGAATGGAGTATGAAAACACCCGTAAATCTTTACCATAGATTGTGATCAGGTAGTTAAAATTCACTCATAATACTTGTATTATCGAAATGTATTAAGATTTTCAGGATCAATCATTGAACTGTGATTCATATAATTTTGTTTATTTTTTCATTTTTGTAAATGCCTATCAATCAAATTGTGCCAAGTGATCGGATTGATCACTGAAACCTTTCACTTTATTCAAACATAATATTTGTTGAAATCTATGAATAAGAAATTCCTGTTACATTAGGGAAACACTTTCCGAAAATTTGTCATCATATTATTTGCACTGAGATTCACTGCCTGAATTAAGTATAATAGACCACCAGTGGTTTCTAAAATGTCAGTCAGATAGCTTAAAATTGCCTACAGTGGTTATGAAGTGAATAAGAACTCAGGTGGGGAAAATCGACTTATTGTTTATTGCACGGTACTTTTATAAAATATGAAAACCGTATATTAAATAAATTACTCTCACATCAGTTGTCTTTTAAATACTTCATGATCCTTCCAATTCAGCCACTATTCCAATTACTCTGTTTCCCTTCCTGTTCTCTTTAATTCAATCTTCTGCTGGGAGGCATTCCACTTCCGATTGCTCCTACATAGTACTTATATCTGTCGGCATAAGCAACATACACCACAGTTGAACCGGAAGTTAGTAATTTCTCAATCTGATGTACTAGGTCAGTTTGGCCATCTTTAATATATATATATATATATATATATATATATATATATATATATATATATATACTTCCGTCAACAAAGGTAGTGAAAACTTCCCACCTGTTTTCCTATCTTGAGCAATTATGCCTAACCTCAACATTGTTTATACAGTGATTTTCCCATATCCAAGAAATATTTCAAAGACATACATAACTTTAGTACTAGTAGCCACTGGATTTCATTTCAAATTCAGTAAACATTCTGATTATTTCAAAATTAAGATGAACCGTTTTTATTCATTTTCAGATTTTGTCAGTAATTCACCTGAGTCGGTGAAGCTTCCTAGATAAGTGAACTATCTGTCTAAAATTATTGAATGGTAAAACCTTATTTTTCAGATTAGTGTTAGTTCAGTCATAAATATTGAAATTTTCATAATAACTATTCGACAGATCCCAGCGGAGGAAGAAATCAGGAAGAAGCGCTGGAAGTGGATAGGACACACATTGAGGAAAGCACCCAACTGCGTCACAAGACAAGCCCTCACATGGAATCCTGAAGGTCAAAGGAAAAGAAGAAGACCAAAGAACACATTACGCCGAGAAATGGAGATAGACATGAGAAAAATGAACAAGGATTGGATGGAACTAGAAAAGAATGCCCAGGACAGAGTGGGTTGTAGAATGCTGGTCAGCAGTTTCTTTTCTTCTAATCTGATAGTTTTTCAGTTCTATAACAGTCAATCATTTCTTTTGAGATTAAACATCATAATACGTACGATAGACTTCGAAACAAATAGGTCAAAATTCAATTTGTATTGGTTTTTATGTGACTTATTCTTATTTTGTAAGTGAGAGGATGATTATGTTAATGTAGATTTAAAGAGAATGAACTTAATATGGAAGAGCTATAAATATTGAAGAGAATCTTAAATAGATAAGTTATTTATCTTATTACAATATAGGATGGAAATCATTAGTATTAAACATCGATAAAGAACTATTGAAGACGTTATATTTTGTACAAGTGACTTAATAATTAAAACTAAAGAGCTTAAACTATTGGAGTCATCAGTCAGACAATGAACGTATGGGTGAGCACACATATGTGAATTTTTCAAGTTTTTACACTATATTAATACGACGAGATGCAATCAGCATGGCATAGAGTAGTTTTAGAAGTGTAGTGAATATGATTTTAGAGAAATGAATTGATAGAGCAAGAATTATAAGATAATATTGGAATTCGGAATCTAAGAGGATACAGAATGAATGTATTTAGGTTACTATGAAAAATTTCGACCAATATTAACTAACATTTCTAGTCACTAATCATGATTATTAGCTTCTCATTTCAATTAGGTACACTTTACTTGTCAATAAGGCTCAAATCAATAGTTAATAACTTCATGAATCGATACAACAGCTTAGTTTGAATGCTTTTAACTTTCTTCTAGTCTATTCATGATAATCCAGTCAGTATTATACACTGAAATATTGTCTATGGTTAGTGTCATAAGACTTAGTCGAGTACAGAATCTAATCATCCCATAACACAAAACATCACACACAAACTGACAGAAAGAAGGCAAAGTTTGAACATAATGGGAAAAAAAACTAACCAACTTGAACAATAGAAACAATAACGATGATAATAATAACACAGATTTATCAAAATAAATATAGATTTTATTTTATATCAAAATGAGTATTGGAGAAAGAAAATCTGCCGTCGTTTTTTTTCACATATCATGAAAAAATAAAATTATGAAAGGATACAATCAGTCGGTCAGTCATCTATAACATAAGACCAGGCAATGAAAGGATACAGTTTAAGTAAAAATATCACTGTAGGATATTGTATGAAGTAGAGAAAATGTAAGAACATATTGATCGATTAGTTAACAAATTTTCATTAAAATAAAGACAAATAGAATCCAGTTAGTTACTTTTCCAATAAATATTTACAATATAATGAAAGATTTTCCATATTCTTGTCTAATATAAATGGAATAGTTATAATTTCTTGATAACCTTCTTCCATAGTTGGTTTTTCATATTTTGATCTGTTTTTATAAATGAGAGAAGAAACACGAAACGATTGGATGAAAGAGAAATTTTTTTGTGGCGAAGTGATAATTGTTGGTTGTTGTTCTTTTTTCAAATAATATTTTTTTGCTAAGTATCCTGTTTGATTAGAGTAATCAATAATTAATAATTAGGATCAGTAATCAGTGACATTTTGTTTTGTCTTGAAATTAATAAATTTCTCAGACTTACCGATTATGTGATCGAGCATAGAGTATTGAGGAAGGCGATGTGCACGTATGCATTCATTGCTTCAGATCGTGGAAGTTTAAAACATCGTAAGCTAACATACAGTCATTAGTTAGTATTGTACGTTAGGCAATTACCACTGCTCAATCAGTGGTTGTACTGCATGTGAACAATTTTTCGAAAAGATCTATATACAAAAGATTACTGGAAAGGTTGCTACTGATAGTAACACTCCGATTCCCATTGACAGTGATAACGTCTAAACAACTAACCGTGTGGCATTTTCTTGAATAACGCAGTTATGCCTCTAGGTTGGCAAGAACATTAATGATGATACACATTCTATTTTAGGTTTCACATGTGATAAACCTTTACGATGTGGACACCTAGGATGTATCGATTGAGCACCCATCTCAAATAGGACTAGAATTTTTGTAGGGAATAAGAACGATGGATACTTATTCCACACTCAATGACTAAAACACACATCAGATCAAACATAAAGAAAGTATAAAATATCATTTATTTCAACGAATAGCATAAAGGTGTGACAACATGTATTTCTGGTAGAACGAATTAAATTTTCCACAAAAAGTCAACATTTTTAATTCATTGACGGTTTACTTGAAGAGCGTTTTATGGAAATTGGATTTAATTTGTAAGTTGTATTTAATATAGACTGATCTCATTTCAGATACCATTGAAAATCAGAGATAACTGTTTCGTTCTAGTAAGGGACTCCTTGACATAAAATGGACGATAGTTATGTGGAAGTTCTCTCCCAGTAAGGAACTAAAAAAAACTCTGGCAAGCAACCAACCCAGCTTTTTGAAGACTACTGTTATGGTCACTTAATCGAAAATCACTTATAAAACAGCTGAGATTCCAAAATATCTGCACATTTTAGTGTAAACAATGTTTAGATTAAGTGAAGCCAATGATAAAAATGGATTTAATAAAAACTTACTTCATCATATTGAAAACCATTTGACTGATTGGTTTATGCGACGAATTTGTTAGAGCGCGAAACTATGGAATAATCAAAAGAAATAATATATAGAGAAAGTGAAAACTAGCATTAGTTGTATATTTCAGATAAATGTAATGTTTGAAAAACCATCGACAGTTTGTCACTATACGTTATGATTTATTTTGATGAAACTCATTTAACAAATACAGATTCGTGTACTCAACTATGAGCCACATTGTGCATGTGAGGGCTGTAATGAGGTTATCCAGAATGACAATTTGAGCTATGTAGCTAAATAATTCAAAAATTTCCCACCACAAATAATCTAGTAATACACTGTAATTTCCCATTTATGATATGCTTGGCCTTGTAACTGCTTTATACTATCATGGAACAGTATAATAGTGGGAGGTAAATCCATTAGGTTTTCTTGTATTTTGAGCTGACTGGGGGCAACAAGAAGTTACCTGAACCAATCAGTCTCAGTATCGTTAGTGGGCACGATTGGTAGGGGGAAATCCGTTAGTGTTGTTGAAGGAAAGTGATCCCAATGGTAAACTCTATAACTTAATGATTCATTTACGTGACTATCTACATATTTGAAGGTTCTAACAAGAATGGAATACAATCGAAAGTATTCACAATAGATGAAAATTCCCTCAACTCTATTTTTGATACTTATCCACTTGCCAATCCTTTATCAGTTAGTCATAACGTAGAAACAGGTACGTATGTGCTTCGGTTAAAATTGCAATATCTCATTAGCACAGAGATGAAATTCTCAACCCATATCCCACAATAGAAGAGGTAGTTGCACTATCACCGATGATTGAAAAGATAAGACACCGAAGATACAATTCGGGAATAAAACATAAATTGGTGAAATAAAGACGTAAAAACGTTATAAGTGATAAGTCTTCTAACTGAACGCTAGATTCGGTTCCTAAGCTCCTCTAGTAACCCTCAGGCTAAAACAACACAGAGACTTGAACACGATAGAAAAGGCGCGAAATATAGAAGAAACGCTATGCTCTAAGTTACCTTTATGTACAGGAAATCTAGAGTTTTATAGTATTTTAGATGGCCTCTGGTTTCCGGAAAATTCTGGAACGCTACTAAACATAGTCAGTCAGTAACAACGTAGAACTTCGTACGTGCGTACATCAGTTCGAGTCGCCACACCACATTAGCATAGAGATGTAGTGGTCAATTCAAATCCCGTAGTGGTAGAGGTAATAAGAGTATAAGCAGTAATCGGGAAAATTAGTGTTTGGAGATGTTATTTAAAGAGTATAATACAGTGAAATAAATTTAAGAAGACAAAAAAAGCGACAAGGAGGAATAAGGAGATCAAAATTTGGGAGAACAGAGAGAGTTTATGCACCTGCGCCATTGCAAACGATTTTGAGTCATGTCATTCAGGGTCTCTAACCATCGGTTGATATCATCTCGCGGTCCCCAACCAGGTAGTCTACACCTACCGACATGACTCAGACCACTTGTCAGTGACTTCATGGACTTGTGCCATGTTTTGGTCTGGCCGCAGTATAGGTAATCATCCAATGAGAAACTGGACATGTGACTTTTCACTTTCTAGATATCTGGCAAAACTTCCAGTGAATGCTAATTAGATAAGATGCTTTTCAGTGCTTCCAGAATTTTCTGGCTTTTTTCGAGGACTTTTATGGGTCTCCTCAACAATAAAGAATCTAGAATATCAGAATTTGGGGCTGATAGGGAATGAATGCACCTGCACTATTATAAACAATTTTGAACCATGTCATTCAAAGTATCTAATCATTAGTAACGATAATCGCGCGGACCCCAACTAGGTGGTCTACATCTATTAACATGACCAAGTTAAGTTGTCAGTGACCTCATGGACTGGTGCCATGTTTTGGTTTGGTCGTCCCCCGCTTTCTTACAGCCTAATCACACACCAGAAGACAACGCCTATCGAGGTAGGCGGTGGTTAGGTATACGTGACACATGTCCCGACCACCTCAATTGATGAAGGTCTATTACCTCATCAGTCAATTTCGCATATTTACCAAGTACTCAATTCCTAGCCCAGACAGTGCTTATTCCAGGGTCCAAAAATACACGAGCGATGCTTCGTAGACACCTACGGTCGAAAACCGGTAACCTACGAATATCCTTGATTCTTAATGGCCATGTTTCACATCAATAAAGTCGAACGGAGCGGACTGCTGCTCGGTAAACTCGCCTCTTGACTGGATGACGGATATCCCGCTTACGCCAAATTTATACAAAAAAATTAGATAAATGAATAGTCTTACACGTTCATTATGTTGAGCATGTTCCATAGATGTCTCCATGATAAAACATTTCACTGGTATATCCCATACTTTAGCAATTTTAATATAACGTGTTCGTGACTCTAAATCCATATTTGTATTGTCGACTACAACTGGAAGACCTTTAGATATAGCTTGCTCAACAGCTTGTACACATTTTTGCCACGTACCAACATTATCCTGCAGTGTAAACCACAAGAAAAAAATCAAATATTTATTTAAACGGCTTATAGAAATTCAGTTAGTTTAAAGATAAAATTTTTTATTACAGAAAGTTGTCAGGTTAGAAAAGCACTGAAAACTAGAAGGCGTTATACATGTACCTTTAAATGATGAACAACTTTATTCTCATGTTGAATCAAACTAAAGACATTAAGGTATTGTCGCAAATGATGGCAAAGTACCATTTAATGACTGAGGCAGTGGACACAGTAAAATATGCTTTTTTTCTCAGCGTGACCAAGATATTCGCTCTTTTACTAACTATCTAAATAAAATTTTCCCTATAATAGATTTATGCTAACTATCTAATCCTTTAACTAGTTAACAATAACCTTAATGTACTTAGCTAGATTAATATGCTTGATTGTATTAGAAGTAGAGGGAGCGAGGTTCGACTTTACAGTCTATTGATTAAAAGTCAAAATGCTTTGAAAATGATCAAATTTATAGCTCTACGATTTTATCTCTAAAAGAATACCTTGAAGAAACACATTTAAGAACAGTAGCACGTTGATTAAAACAGGGAATATTATTATATTGAATTTGAATTTGTGGAAAAATGGTAATTGAAGGTCAAACCATTTAAGAAGTGGAATTTAAAAGTAAATTTAAAAAAAGTTTTTAGTACAATTCCAAGCAAAAAATTTAGTTAATTAATTTTCTTTACATTTTATGTATGTACATAAACGCGCGCACAGAGAGAGTGAGAGAGAAAGGAACGACTAAGCACGAGGAATAAAGAAACCAAAAGAAGTGGGAATTTTTCCCAATCCATAAATTTTATTCTTGACTTTAATTGGGTAGTTTCTCAAGATTACAACAATAACAACACCATCATCATCATTACCATATACACAAATATACGTCAACACAACAAGATTTGTAATTAAGTAGTAAAGAGAGAATGGTGTAGTGTGTGTGCGGCAGCATTAAAGGAAACAAGCATCATCAACACATTGTACACAGAAATATATCACTGATGTTGAAAACCACACAAAAACCGTTATGAAACATCCATTAATTTTTGTGATAATTACTATAATACTGCATAATAAAAATGGTAGTATGGAATATCCAAACATTCATTCATATTTGGGTATCATGCATATGAAATCACGAGATTGAAAATTTTACCTATTCATCTATCTTATTATGACCAGTCTATAGGAAAATGTTTATATATAGTTAATAAAATACCTTTATTAACAGTCGGTCAATGTATACTATTTTGACTAATGTAGATGATTTGTGGAGATTGCTGAATTCACATACATCATATCAGTGTCGAGTGCGAAACAGATATTCATCTCAGGCAATGGAAGAGGATTGTGCAATATCGCAAAATGACATCTGAACTATTGAATGCTGACTCAGTGGTCTGGAGGTTACATAAATGCTTTTTCGAATGCGTCCTTTTTAAGTTTGAGTGCATGTGAGTAAGTGTTCTGATGCAGATCAACTTGAAAAATTTATTCTTAATGGTAGGAGTTTCTGAAGATTATTGCATTTCATAGTTTGAAACATGAACTGAACTTGGTTAAGAAATCATTGAAAGTCCGGGAGTATTAGGCAGCTGTTGCCCCCAAATGCCCTGGTTTTGCTCTATGCTTGTGAAACCCGGCCTCTCCGAGTTGAGGACGTTAGACGACTCTCTGTGTTTGACCATCGTTGTCTTCGAAGGATTGCTGACATCCAGTGGCAACACCATGTTAGTAATGCAGAGGTTCGGCATCGTGTGTTCGGGCACAGAGACGATAATGCGATTGGTGTCACCATCTTGAAACATCGACTTCGGTGGCTTGAACATGTTCTACAAATGTCGTCCCAGAGAATTCCACATCGTGCATCGTTTTCCGACTCTGGGACTGGTTGGAAAAAGCGGAGAGGTGGTCAGTGTATGATATGGTGTCGGGGTATGAAAGAAAGCTGTAAAGGAATGGCTTGTGTTGGTCCTTCTCGATTCCTTCCTTAACTTAAAGATTTCTTCTGGTTGTACCTTTCTGTTCCCCCATTATTATTATTATTACACTACCTTACACCAATCTGTTCGTTAATGTTCGCCTTTTCTTTCACGCTCCTTACCCTTTTTTCCTTGTCTTTAGATTCTCATTGTTTTGTGTGGCGCATATATATTTGGTGCCCTCTTGTACCAATATTTATGTGTTCAAATAAATAAATAAAAAATAACGTCGGATATTTTGTCCTAGTATGGGATTCCTCAGAAATTGGCATCTACAATTTAATTGGGGATAGGATTCCTGATCTTTAGTTGTGGTAAGCAGTCTATTAAAATTAGGAATGTAAACCACTTGATGGAGACCTAGTGTTTAAAGTTTAAGCACTCACCGCGGGACCTGAAGCTTCTTGGCCCGACCCCCGGTGGCATTGTGAATATACACAGCTCAAGAGTCTCATACTATGTAGTACATGCTACTTATATTGACAGAAATAAGTAGTATGTAATACCGACCAGAAGTGGAATGCCTGTCAGAAGGCTGAGAAGATTGAACTGGAGAAGACAGAAAGGGAAATATAAAGGGATTGAGAATTGGAAGAATCATGAAAGATGTAAAGGACAACTGAAGGAAGATGTGCAAATGAAGTACTTAATGTATGGTTTTCATAATTTACGAAGACATTGCAATTTTGCACTAAGAAGTAAATAGGTCTTCCCACCTGAAAGTTCGTTCATTATACTAGGACTAAGTAACTATTTCGTGCCTTCTGATTTATAATAATTGTCTAACTAAGGTCGGTTCATGTTGTAATTTTTGTAAAGTTATTGTTTTACTTTTTTATTTTAATAATCATAGTCTTTTATTAAGATCTATTCGATGCAACTAAATTTACTCTCTGAATTCGAACAGATTAAACAAATTACAAGACAAGCTTAGCATTTTACGTTTTCTACATGATTAGTTGTATTTTACTAGGGGGTTAGTGTCTTTCAAGAAACAAAATAATCTTGACTATATAAAGCTATTGCTTTACAACTGGATCGCTAAACCAAACTGTTTCAAGTCATTCAGAAATAACTCATTTTAGATAACCATGAGTGATTTTGAATATTAGGTTTGTGAAGTTATAAGTAGTGCAAGAATGTTGGTGTGATTACTCTGTCAACTAAAACGATAAACAGATAAACTGAGCTATGATATTACGACGTAAAGGTTGAATATATGGGGATAAAATAACAGATCTAGAAGGTATACATATATAACATCGATAAAAAAAATATATCTTAAGGTTTGTTTACGTTGATAACAGTATCCATGTTGTCAGTAAGTGAAAACATGATAATAAACCGTATGTTTATACAAACAATTGGGAATTATTTTTCTAATTAATTGTGAATCTACACAGAAATGGTAGGATTGAAAATGAATCAAATCAACATCACTATCAAAAACAAACAAAAATACAATTTATAAGGTGAAAATAAGCTAGTTACGCATGTCTACATATTTCCTATGGTACTTTTTATTTACGACTACCATATATATATATATATATATATATATATATCAGATGATGCAATGAATAGGTAGATAATTCACAAAACATAACTTGAAACAAAAAGAAAGCACACTGTAACACCTACCCTACTAATTACTTCATAACCTAATGGTGCCAACACTCGACTACAAAAGTGCGATTTACCAGCTAAAAGGTGTATAAGAAAATCAAGGAGAAAAACAAAAACAAACAATAACAATTAATCCACAAATCAGCAGGTAAATTGAAACTAGAAATCGAGAGGAATGCATATAGAATATATATAAATGCAAAAATGTAGAGGGAATGCCATCCCAAATGTTGTGTTCTCGTAGCTATAAAATACTTTAACCGTGAAGTTTTCATTATCGTTTTGAACAACATATTCGGCGTTTACTTTATTTACACAAAGTAGCTTTTCAGTTATTTCATCAGTGTTGAATTAGTTCGTTATGATGGCCTTTTGTTTCTATTCGTTCTTATTTTTCCATTTACTGTTGTTCGATTAGTCTTAGACACTGTGACTGATAGAGTTTTCTGTATGCGTTGATAAATTGAATCTACGTCAATGTATCTATTGATTATCGATTGACCTGACTGACATGATCCCAGAAATTTTCTGGCATTCTTAGGGTTTCCCAATACAGATTTTAGACGTTTGTCCAGTCGAACTCATGTCTATGAAAGCTCCGTAATTGAATAGCTAGTCTGCGAGAACACATCACCGAAACCATGAACCTGAGCCTCAAATCTTAATATTAAAATAATGATACTGTGCTCACTATTGATTACCTTCTAAGACCTCACAGATTTCTAGACAGGGAGACTAACCAATGGATAAGTATCTATTATTGCATTATGTGGTGATTAGAGATAAAAGTATTAATTGTTAGATTTTGAATTAGTGCCTCAAAAAATTGTACTTATGATGAGACCTTGAATCCTCAGGTGTGGACTGTTTTGAACCCTGAACCAAGGTAAAACTCGCAATTTATTTCCTGATGGAAATCAGTTACAAATTGTCGACTTTAAGAAAGCCAAGGTAAACAATATCATAATCATTACTTACACCCAGGAGATCCTACCATTAAAATAAGCTCTGATTTGTTTGGTCGGTCAATTCTTGGTAATTTACTATTTTGTACATCGTCATTAGTTAACAATTCAGTTGGATTGAATTTAGGCATCTCAAATTTCTCTGTATCTAATTGATCAAACCACAGCTGTTCTGGTGTTAAAAAGCGAATTCCAACATTTTGGGCAAACTATGTAGAATGTGGAGAGAAGTAATAAGATGAGATGAAAAAAGAGAGAGGAACAGGAAAAAATCGTGTTTAAACGGAATGATACTAATTCACATCAAAATTTTATAACACCGTTAGAATATAATTACTGTATTTTTGTTTTTAGAGAATTAAGAGTAATTACCATTAGATATGACGATTAATACTTGTAACTTAACGCTGGTTGATCACTGAGTGGCGACCGATGTCATGTTTGTCTACGTCCAGAGTTAACTATAGACTACCTTCAACCACTTAACATCTGAACATAGTGTACGCTATGAAGAGTCCTTTAGACATGTGATCACTTGATCAACAGAATTCGATGAACATTAAAAGGTATAAGTCACTACTCAATGATCAATTTTTGTACATACTTAAGCCCTATAGGAGGTCATTCAAAATTTTAATAGCTCAGTGGTAGTGTCACAGACTGTAAAGTTGGGTGATGTGGGTTTAAACCCCATGGGAAGATTGAAACCCTCAAGACTGGAAGCACGTCTTGCTAGCATAAAAATTAGATTCAGGTTTTAATATCGGTTATCTTCAATAACCCGACATTTAAGCTATAAATCTTCAGATTTGTTAGTTTGCTAAAGTTATGCTTACAGAGCGAACATCTGAACGTTAAGGTAGTAAATATATATATATATATATATATCCAAAAGCTGTCTTGTTGAGAAAATGATACCTGGTAAGTTGAAAAAAATTGCCTTAACAACAATATTTATACACAAAGTTCAGCGAAGGGATCTCTTTTCAACGAATTTATTATCAAGCTGTACAATCGTATATATATGAAATTTTTTTTGTTTTTTGTAAAAGTACTAATTTAGTATTATAATCTTTTTATTATGTCATGGTTAATTGTGTTCACATTTCCTCACGGAATTAGTACTTTTACAGAAAACAAAAAAAATTTCATATATATACGATTGTACAGCTTGATAATAAATTCGTTGAAAAGAGATCTCTTCGCTGAAATTCTTTGTCAACAATATTTATGTTAAAAAAAGGAATATAAAACATCAAGACAATGTATATCCTAAAATAAATTCCACTTGTTATAGGCACTTTATATATTAGATAGAAGTTTTCAAATAACCACTTGACTTTCGAGGACACAGCCATTATCAAAATAATTTGTGTATTTTTCAATCGTTTTTCTTTTAATACAAGTAGATAAACAGTATTATTTTCTCCTAGGTGCAACTGACGTGAAACAATCTGCTGTATATAAAGTTGTTATTTCAACTGTTATAGAATTCTCGAAGAAAGCAAGAGGAAAGATTAAGGCAAAACAACATGAATTCTTTTTCCGTTCAGTTGAAATAAAAAGATGCAGTGATGTAATTAATTGAAGGAAAGAGTTAAACAAAATTTGATGATGTAATGAAGGAATATTTATTATAAAGTCAAAGAGAGATTAACAGTCATCTCCTTTTGAACACATAAATCAGGTTTCTGACGCCAGGTAGCAAGAGTTTCTGCAAACTTCAGAAGACTTGAGCTTGGATGTTCATTGATCACCTTGGAATATTGCACGGTATCGACCTGAAGTTATGTGTCTAAGAAATGTTTAGTAATTGCGTTATTTAAAACATTTCCTCCTCTTGTTCGAAGGCGTTTTGGAACATATAGAAAAAATTCAAAGTTATAACCACCTTTCTCTTACTGAATTGCATAATTATGAACAGATAGAAAATGACCAAATGAAAACACAATCAACTTACTAAACGATCAGCACATGAATGATCTTTCTTACGCTTTCCAGAAGCTGGACGACCAGCAGCATCTGTTGAAGATTAGTAGTAAACATTACATTATTAGCTTAAAAATTAATAAGTTTTTAGCTACAGTCATTAGGTAACCAATCAAAACAACAAGGGGGAAATTGTTAGTGACAATTACAATGAAATATTTGTAAAATCCCAATGATTAGATAATTGAATCTTTGATGTTTCGCAACCTAGTAAATTATTGTTAGATGATAATAAGGAGATCCAATACTTACAAATTAGTTGGTTAGACAGTCCAGATAAGCTTGGTACATCACTTAAACCTCAAACAGATATGAAGAACTAATGAAAAGAGAATCAAAGTAGGGCTTCGATAAATACTGTTTTATAGTCCCACTTTTCGTCGTTGATGTATTTTTGGAAACAGATTTAATGCAAATGTGCGGTTGTGTTATAGATATGTTATTTGTTGAAATGTTTTTTGATTAGGAATAACCAGACGATATCGTGTAATTGTGATGAAATACAGACGATATTATACATCGAACTCGGTTAGTAAGATGAATGTGTTTACGTGTGTTTATGATTTGAACTGTTTAGATAAAGAATAAAGTTAGATTGTAAAATGCCTATGTCTAAAGTCACTGTTATTGATGAACCAGTGAAGATAGTTGGTAAATTTATTTATGCAAGTAGACATATTAGTGATGTGAAGTGGAGAAAAGTCTTATTTTCATTCAGAGAAAGCAGCCTATACTAACCTCGGGTATTTCTGGGGTTATCTCCTTGTCCATCATTAGGTGAACAACACCGTTCTGAGGATAGTAGTACCACACATTAGTTGGACATACAATTTCCGAGCATACATAACTTAAAGATATCTGTTTCGTAGAATTAATTGAATTCAATGGCAGAAACCATGTCACTATTTTTAATGTCAAATTACCTGCGAAGTCAGTTGCTTCGTCCTTATATGATTCTTACGTTAGTAAGACTATACAGACGTTGCTTTGTGACAAATGTTCCACAAAAGACAACTTGTTGATGATAATCCGAACTATTTTCACTGAAGTTAATAGACGAAGATCTTTCGGACAGGTGAGACAAATAATTAAACACAACTAGGCTACTTATAACTTTAAAAAGTAGTATAAATTAATTTTCATCAAATATACTAAGAGTGAAGCATTTTGATACTTGGAGGCTATTCATAAACTACACTGAGTGTAAATAGAACCGTTAATTTTAACAGAGTAAACAAAGAAAATGAAGTCACACCATTAATGAATCCATTACAGAATACATAAGCTATGTGAAAGAATAACGATCAGAGTTTACATTCTGAATACTTTTTGTTCTAATCATTAAGGGAAAATAGAATGGACTGCGTGTAAAGAAGTTGACTTTAAACATTAACATCATTTGTGCATTTATTTGTTGACGAGGAACGGTTGTTTTCATCTAATGTGGGGATTCATCGGTTTACTTTACTTTTTAGGATCACTGAAGAATTTAAAACATTGTATTATTATTATTAAGTTATTCATAGTTTATAATGCTTGTTCTGATAATCAGTTGTAAGCTTAAAATCAATTTGAGGAATAACTAGTACGACTCATTTAGTAATTACAGATTACTATTTTCTCGGGTTTGAATCGCCCATTTTTGTGTATGGTAGTAAGAGATGCTATCCGGTTGTCTATATCACTGTGAGGCAGTGTCGGACCTAGGGCTTAACAACTGAAAGTCGGATGTTCTAACCGTTAGGCAACGATTACAACGAAGGATTAAGAATTAATAGACAACTGGTTTTGCGTGGTTGTGCTCTATCCTTATGAGATCAAACTTGTGAAGCGTTAGATCATATTCAAATAAACAGAGGTTCTAAAATCGGCTAACACAAGACAGCACTAATTCGTAATGTTGATAAAACCATAAAACCTATATGGATATGAAACCATGTTACACTAAATGACTATACTAATTGTATAGGCTTGCTTAAATTTTGCGGATTTTTTTTAGCTATGTAACTAATATTATTCTGCACCAATATTTGTTCTGGCTTTATTTAAATTCATAAAGGGAACTAATTGCATGTAATATTAGTTGACCAAAGCTTACAGCTATTGAAATTTAAATAACTACATTTTACCCAACAGTTTCGTCTGAGTTGATAATTTACTTTAAAATTTTGATCAATTAAAATACTAGCTTTACACTGAATGTCTTCGACATTCTTAACGCCCAATTCCCTTAGCACTGCTAGTTCAAATTTCGGTGAATGTTTTTATAACGGATTTTATTTAACAAATCTAAATTGATGAGAAAAAAAGCCAGAGAGAAATAAGTGGTAAATAATACTAAGTAAAAAAGAATTGGAAAGGAAATATTTATTCAGCCTTTAAAATAAAAGAGGGAACCAGTTATAGGTTCCCGATTGGAGGCTTAAAAAATGTAGAGTGATAGCTCGGTGACCAAAGAAGTTTTAGTTACACCGAAGGTTTGAATTTCACTCTATGCGCTTTGGTTCAAGCGTGACGCTACCACCAAGTATAAATTAAAGTAAATTATGCGTGCACATAATTTTTAGTCACTGAATTTTCAGATTTAAATCTCAAAGAACCTATTTTGGTTTGTGCTTACACCTGAAGTGCAGCTTGAAGTCACATAAACGTACCTCTAGTTAGGGAGCAGGTTAAACCACCTACCCATACGTAATGAAGCAGCGTTAATATGTGAAAAGTTATAGGTGCTTGGACTAAGATATCATACGTATTTATAAAGTTATTGATAATAATTTGAGATATGGAAAGAATTATGTGCATCTAGACGAAGGTACACAAAATGTTAGGGTAAGTAACTGAAAAACCCACTACAACAGGATGCATGTACTAATGAACTTCTTGTGAACATAAAAAAAGCCCTCGTTCGTCTGTACATCCTCGAACAATATGGACCACTGGATTTTTGCGCGAGGTTCTGCAATGTTATATTGGTTTAATTTTCGCAAACATTTAGAACGTGGTTGACGAGCCTCCTATTAGACATGTTAGTAATATTTAAAAGGTCACTTTTTACGACATAATTGGTAAATGACAATTTCCCCAACTAATTACCTCATAGAAGATTAGAATAAAAATGTTTTCCTGATATTACAATTGTAAAGTGAATACGAATGATAACTTACCGCCAGAATACAAGGATGCGAACAAATCAATAGACATTCCAGAATTACCTTTGTCATTAAGAAAATCCCACATTCCGGTGAGAGGTTTGCGGTTTCTATCATCTAAGATAGAAAACAAACCCTAGGTTGCATTACATACGGTCAAATGTATTTTTCATTACTTGGATTGGTATGTTTAATTTGTCTACAATATTTTGTATTTTTAACTTGAAACTAAATATATCTTGGTAGCCTTTTGTTATACCTTTCTGAAGAGGTGATTTTAGAAAGTAACGTAGTGTAAAAAGTGGGTACTTGGTTAGAGAACAAAACAATTTTATATCCTTTTTCAAAATATTCCTTGAGCTTAGGGATAACATTGTCGTTGATCAATCTTAAATGATAACTTATTGAATAAGATAAATCTTACTTCCAATCTTGGTAGTCTTTTGGAAAAACTTTTCCTGAAGACGGAACAATAATCGTTCCGTCCATATCTAGGCCTAAAATCTAATTGTAATACGGATTTGTTTTTAGTCTAAAGTATTACTTTGCTACTGGGTTCACACTTGGGATGTGTATATACTAACAGAGAGACGGTATTTTCCCACAATTCTTCATTTATTGACTGTGAAAGGTTCTCGGTGGGGACCAAGGTTGTTTGACGCCTAAAAGATAGAAGGTAAAATAATTGGTGTACACTATAAGTAACTAACAATAGTACGTACGCAATTACTTCCAGGACACGTTAACACACTTTTAGAGGAGAATTAGTCATACTATATAGAAATAAGATTGTTTGAAAGGCTTTAGAAAATTATAAGAAAAGTAGCGGTAGACGTAAAAAATGAAGTCTGAAAGTGAAAAATACCAAACTGTATGATCCAAAGCAAACTCACAAGTTGTCTGATCATTTATTGAACGTTTAGGTTTAGTTCTATGGAGGTTTCGGTGGGCAAAAGCTTACAATTAAGTAGTCTGAGGAAAACTTATTCCAAAACATGGGCTAGTGATAAACAAAGACACGATCTTAAAACTAAGGCAGTTCATAGTGTTGTGTATTGGCAGGCTTGTTACTTTCAACCAACAATAATTCACGAATTCGCCAGATGAAACTTTTTTCGCTCTATATAAAGAACAATCATTATGGACCAAGAAGAGGGGAAAAGACTAGTCATTTGTTAACTTCACTGACAAAATATTACTAAATATTATAAGTATTTTTTAGAAAGTCATCATCACCATAATTATTAAGAGTAGGAATAGTACCCAAACAATCAAAGAAAAGTTGTATAACTACTAACATTATTGTACTCACTACATTCAACAGTAAACAGATAACTCTTCAAGCAAACAAGAGAATAGTGACATTCTTGAAAGAAAAATTGTGTAAACAAAGAGGGAACGCGACATATAGTCTATTTTGTTGCCTACCATGGAGGGATAGTGAGACATTTCCCTCAAATGTCTTTCTAGGAGGGGAAACGACCTAACATTTGCACCTAAATATACATCGGAAAATCTACTGTTTGCCTACGACAGGCACTTTAGTTACCTCCGATTTTATAAAACAGGTTGTTACGTGAGGGATATTAAATCCACTCAGTTTAAGCTGTACAGTATAGAGACAGGCCTAGGCGAGCCTGAACTAATTACTTATATAGGTGATAATGGGTGAAACAAATTTAGATCTCCCATTGCCCTTTTTAGTTTTTTTCACTGGAATCAACGATTCTAGTGACATAAGCATATTGTAGTGTCTCATACTTAGTCATGAGCACATATTAAATTTATTTGTGATGTCTTCTAAAGATTGGTGCTTTACTGTCAGGTTCACACTTTTCTGTTAACTGAAGTGGAATTAGAAGTGCTGAACATTAGTCTTCAGCAAGATATGAGGGACATATTTGTAAGCTGACTTGCTAATCTGATGATTCTCTAGTATTTTAGATGGCGACAGTGACACGACTAGTGAGTGACAATCTAAAAACATTTATGAAATAAATCTCTTCTTACATCACGAAAACTGAACTAGTCATCCAGTTTGCGGCGTTTGAAAGGGTTTTCAGAAACACAGATTCTATGAAAGCATACTAAGTGGAAATTCGTTTTAGTTGTTCTTGATCGCCACACACATTAATATCACGACTTTAACTCTCCAGTATTATTTACAATTGTACCACGTCCGAATGCAAGATTACCTTTGTGGCATGAAAGATAAGCTCAGTAGGCGTTGTCATGGAGGGAAAGATAATGAAATATGCTTCATAGCCAGTTTTTCTTCCGTTCCATAGAGACGGGGTAAAATTTTGTTGAACATCACTGTAGGCCTGACTTTATGTTGTCGTATATTAGTAAAAAACGGATTGAAGCAAACTCCACTATAAATGCTTACCGCTATTCAATGTCAGGATTGAATGAATGATAATCCAGGTCCTCGCTGACAAAGTAGAAATGTGAACTAAACGGTGTAGTTCAAGTTTTTTACACCGTTATCATACTTCCCTCATAAATTGCTTTTTTTAAAAATGAAGCTTTCTTAGTTGAATATATTGAGTTGGGACATGATGCACGTGGGGACAACTTATATGATTCCATACAAACCATAGATTAACTGGCAAATTTTCGTAATAACGATATCTTAAGATTTCAGTCTAGATTGATAACACTTGTATTTTCAAAATAAATATCTAACATGACTAACAATTTTAGGGATTCGACCAATTGCGTACAAGGGTTGACTCCGCTAGGAAAGCCAAGATGAATATGAGTGACATTTGCCTTAATAGGAGATAATTTTTTTGTGGTCTGATTAGGTAGAAATTTGGATGAAGAGTGGATGGTCCGGTTTATATTACGGTGAAAAGACAAAATAATGCAGTTAAAAGTGTAAACTTCAGTGAAATCGTACTAGGTTTTCCGTCAATTCGCGCTAAAATTTTCAAAAACGTTCACATTTTTTCGGGATATATTACCCTATATGCTGTATAAATAATTTAAATATACTTGTATACAAAGACATACAAATATTAACACTGTTTGACAATAAAACCTTCGTTGGAACCAACGATAAATTCGAAAATGTTAGTGCAAATGGTAAAACATACATCTTGGATTTAGACGCTCCGATTATAACATTAGGAGGCTGACGTTTCATCGTGTAACACGAGAACTGTATAAACGCATCAAGTGACCTCGTGTTCTTCAATGTCCAAGTTCTAACGGTTCAAACGGATTATGTTGTGGTGACCGAGATTGAAACTTTCGCCTAAATGACTTCTGCATCCAAGAGCATCAAACCACTCAGGCCTCCGGAAATGCACCTATAAATATTAGAAGAGCGAAAGTGAGATACTAGTGAATTATGTAGAAATACTATCATGAGGGTTGAGAATGCTTCAAGTTTCCTCTCAAGAACTCCCAGGAACTCTTTTGAACATTTTCACCGAATGGATAATTTCAAAATCTGACTGCCTGTAAAGAGCAGATATGTGCACAATTGATTTGCTATACAGTGATTCCAACTTTTGAACATTATCACTGAAATTTGTGTGAGATTGAACCTACGTACGTATTTTGAAGGATCCCTAGCATTAGTGATAGTGTAATAGGTCAATTACAGACTATTTCTGGGTATCACAGACTATTATGGATAAGATCAACTGATTGAAGGCGTTTTTCATAAAATTTGAATTTGTTTGCTCGAATTTATTTAATGGTCCGATAATAATTCTTATCCTTTTGAAATGAGTGAGGGAAATACTATGTTTCCGTACTCTAAATAGAACCAAATAATGCTCTTCTAGATCAATTGTAAATTTTTAATGTTAAATTTGACAAAGTTGTGCCTGAACGTTCCTAGTACACAGTTCGCTTTGAAGGTAATTAGCCTGTTAGCGCCAGACTTTAAAACAAAAGTCCTGTGGCGCTCAAATATATTAAACTCGTGACATTTCTAGAGAAGAGCTATGCATGTCATGCGTGCAATTTGCAACTTGTCTCATACAGTCTACTTTTCACTCTGCGTTGTTTTTAGGTGCAACGTTATCGGCCCAACATTGAAGTCAAACTTAATATCCAAGAAGTGCTAGATGATCATCCTGACGGCAGAGTTCCGTCTGAATTGTAATGTGACAACTCATGTGCTTATTTCTGACAAGATTAATTCATACAAAAATTTTCTCTAAAATTAGGAGATTGGGACGTCAATAAAAAAATTAGCACCTCTGAAAGATATTGTAAATCACCAACGTAGATGATCTATGTCGAAATGATTGGAGGCCTACTCGAGTTAGACGTGAATGGTGTGACGAACCAACTAACGTCGAAGTCACACCTCGTGGTCAGCACCTTACGTGGACTACCCCCATTGACGTAACAAGGTACTATAGATGCTTTGAAGACTGTACAACACAAAGGACGTTATTACAGAAATGTATTAGTTAAAGTAGATACAAGCGAAAGTAAGACCACTGCCGCATGGGCCAGTCCATGACGTATGATTAACTAATGCGCGTTGCTTGTACATGACCTTGGCAGGGAGCGATGATCTGTTCGACATTCAGTGATCCAACTGCCGGATGATTTGGCTAGGGCTCAGTGACTTTTCACTGGCCCTACAATACTCCCCCACCAGATTCAACGGCCGTTTGAATCGGTACCAAACATGTTGGGAGCAGTCGCGCGCCAGAGAGTGCCAAACAAATATTATAAATCCTCCAGGTATTGCTTATCTGTAAAAGAAATGGAAAGGAGGCGGCAGAAACTGGTCGGGAAACAGCGAGTCATAATATGTTAGTAGGACGTTGGTTAAACGTAAAGCGATTAACCATAGAAATAATGAAAAGAACAAAACGTTTTATTGTTCTATCAAGTCGCGCTGAAATATATAGCCTTGACAAGTAATTCAGTTCCTCCGATGACAAACGTTAAGTCTGCCGCAAGAGTAATGATGCTATAGCGATAGTAGGATAAGTGTATTATCAATCGATATCCATATTTGTACTGTCATTAGTTTAAAGTTGTAAGTCGGACAGTGTCGTTGACAGCTATTAATTAGTGTCAAATTCTAGTTATATCTATATCTAACAGACTAACCGTGAGTACAGAAGTATAACAGTGAAGAGTGGTCGTGATTTCGTTGTGCGAAGCTATTGACCAACTTGTAGTCACAGTTTGAAAAGTCGATGACTGCTGTTACAGTCAGTAAGGGTTGAAGGCTACAAATCGACAGCAAAAGGTGGCACGATGAAGTCTCTAAAAGATGATAAACGGTGAATGCTGCGTGTTTGTTCGGTTAGTGAACAGAAAAATATCGAAAAGAACATAAGAAACCAAGAGTGTCACTCTGGACTCATGTCAATGATACCCGTGAAAAACGCTGTCAGTGTTGGGATAGAGGCGACAATATCGTTTTCAGTTTGCAGGAGATTCGCTCGACTGCATAAACTGATGATTCGCGCGAATGATATTGTCGTCAGACCACCAATTGAACTGGACAGGTTGTAAATCGTCGAGTAGTTGAACAGCCGATTGATGTACCGGAATCATCTGTTAAACAACAGCCACGATGAAACAATACTTCATAAAATGAAGTACGACATCGAAGTAGAACAACTACAATAGTTCAGATATGTTACAATGTCAAGTCTAAATAACATCTTTCTTACGTATACTGACAGTTGCACTGAACGTTCGCTTAGGTATGATTAGCGTAACAGTTGGATGTGTGAATAAAAACATATACGAAAACTATGGTTGGGTTCGTGGAGAATTTTCGAGGACGTTTAGATATTTTCCAAACCCGTATCGCATGTAAATAAACCGAAAACAGAATTAAAATGACTGTTGTGTAATAAGGAAATCGAGCCATGATTTACCGTGTGAATTATTAGCAAATACAAGAGGTATAATAAACATTAATTAAAATGGTAACCACCAATGTAACTAAGGTTTAGAGGGTCCAGGTAACGTGGCCATTTCGTAAAAGGATGATACAAAGAGCTTATTACCTAGCATTAAGTGACATATTAAGTACGACAACATGTGTACTTGGGATATGGACTAAGCGTGCTCGTGTACATGCAATATGTTTTACCACAGTATGTCGACTAACGAGTCATAAATGTACATGATTTCGACTAAAACTTGACGGCAGTGACAGAATATATGACTAGTTTACGTGAAAGCAACTACGAAATGTTATCACGCATCATAAATATAGTACGAAATAATCTAATGAAATTATGGAACTCGCCTGGGTTACTCTTGCCTTTAAGTAATGAAGTAGGCAGTAGTTTGAATCTGGATTATGCACGAGGTACTGTTGATTAAATTTTTCGGTTAACACAACGTTGTAGACTGAATTTGTATAAGTCCAGAATTAATGTAAGCCGAATACATAGCATTACCTGACGAACAGTCTAAACGAGATCTAAGATCGCAGGAAATTTATAGTTCAAACTCACCGTGAATTTCTAGCATTCGTATCCTCTGTTTGGCCATGGAACTCAGCAATTGGAAATTAGGCAGGCAGTGGTAAAAAAAAGCAGAACATTCTAGTGGATAGTGGTTAAGCAGAAAGATGAATTTATAGTCGATAGTTAATCTTGTCTTATTTATACCAGTGGATAAGGTACAAAGAGATATGCGTTCGTGTTGCCTTGTGGCTATACTCACGAGTGGTTGATATTTTAACAGACATATTACACAGGAGCATTTACATGCTGCTAATGCTTGTTAAAGAACCACGATAGCCGATTATAATCGTATTTGATTGGTTAGTTCTGTCGATTGAACGAATTATCTAGGTTTAAATGCTAATCAACATTGACATGAAGCAACGAAAGTTCACAGTAACAGACTAACATAGGCGATGATAAAAATGAAAAAGAATAAGTATAGAATACAATAATAAAGATTATAGTGATAAGTTGCGTTATTCGAAGTCTTGCTCACCAGTGTAAATCACCAACGTAGATGATCTATGTCGAAATGATTGGAGGCCTACTCGAGTTAGACGTGAATGGTGTGACGAACCAACTAACGTCGAAGTCACACCTCGTGGTCAGCACCTTACGTGGACTACCCCCATTGACGTAACAAGGTACTATAGATGCTTTGAAGACTGTACAACACAAAGGACGTTATTACAGAAATGTATTAGTTAAAGTAGATACAAGCGAAAGTAAGACCACTGCCGCATGGGCCAGTCCATGACGTATGATTAACTAATGCGCGTTGCTTGTACATGACCTTGGCAGGGAGCGATGATCTGTTCGACATTCAGTGATCCAACTGCCGGATGATTTGGCTAGGGCTCAGTGACTTTTCACTGGCCCTACAATATATTTGAACTGGGGATAAGTTAATATACTTAATATGAGGAGTAGCAAGTTACAAATTGACTATACCCGAATGACTGGGCTCTGCAACACGGAATTCAGTGTTTTCGCTTAGTAATGCATTTTGAGTATTAGCACTCGGAGAGTGCCACTCTTTATTGCTGTAGGATGTTTGTAACTATTGGCGGGACAATCTAGTTTGTATCACGTAAGATTATCTGAATTATGGAATACAAGTTATCTACCATATCAAGTTGAAGATGGGATTCTTAGTACAACTGCTGTAGATTGTCCTACAAAGATGATACGTCAAGACGCTTGAAACTTCAATGCTAAGTGACAATAGGATGTTTTAGCCCAGCTTTTATCAATCAAAAAGAAAGCTGTGACAGAGTGGTGGACACTGGTTTTGCTGAAGATCCTCTTTTTCACCTTACCAAGCGTCCTTGGTTGCTTATTCGCTGCATTACTAATTTCTTTTAGGGTTGTTGTCAGTTCCTTCCATAAACCTATTAGAAGACTAGTTATATTGCTCATTATTGATAATGAATAGTATACGATATAAGTACAGATTCCGATTATATGGATATGTCCAATCGACTATTGTTAAGGTCACAAGCATGAATTAACACAAATAATCCGCCCATTCTCGTGGTTTGTTTGGTAGTTTTCCTTTCTCCAGTGATTTTAACGACTTAAATTCCCCACTTATCTCCTAAATGAACATTACATTCTGCTATCCATGAAGCCTGAATAACTTACATTGTCAGGCAGCTTCCGTTTGGTGTATCTGTCCATTTATCACTCTTGAAAG